TACGGTCACCTTAACTTGTTTTAAACTCTTCCACAGTTACAATACAGATATATATAGGTACAACGCATAACGCTAACAAATTTTGGCCCTTTTGGTTAACCGTAATCAAAGAAGGTGACTCAATGTGTCGTCTTTTACTTGGTACACAATCACCACCTATGCATTTATTAATAACTCATTCTAAGCTATGGAAATGCTTTCATTTTTTATGTGAATATTCGATTTTGGCAAAATGTGTATTTAAGAAAGCAACTCTTGCTTTTTATAATAAAAACCCAGTTACACACTTTCCCTTTAGATATTTTTTACTGGCTGCTGTTTGGGTTTTTATAAGAACACTTTTAGTAAAATGTGTTGCCATTTATTTTCGTTTATTGCCAAATAAACAGGAAATCATTTGGAACAATAAAAAGTTGAACCTTCACTAATACCTAAAGTTTTATTCTCTATACTTTCTACTCGGATATATGGAGGAAATGCATTAAAACCTAACCGAAAGTAAAGCATTGTTAATGCAAGTATATGCAGCTTTCAATACTTTGTGTATTAGTATTGGTATTAATATTAGTAAGTTTGTTTGTTTCGGAGAACGTTATAGCTTCTATAGGTTTTCGTTTATAGGCAAATCATTAAAAATGTATCAAACTGTTTATTTTTAACCAGGATTCAATATACTTTAATATCTTTGTTGTAACAGAATACTGTTTGCAGCTGCACCGTCGACACAGTTCATATGGGCATATTAGGTCAAATATGTTTATATAATAGACACTTGTGAGAACTGTTCAGGCTTCTTGGAGAATGTCCTATTTCTCAGGAAAACATTCGGACCACTTCCTGAATGAGGTGCCAGGGGATGGGAGGAAGGGGTTGGTATTGGTAGGGAGTACCCTGTGGGATTCAGCCAAAGAACCCCTTTATAGTTTGTTTTCTAAGATGAAGATCTCACAAATCCCCACACTGTGTTCCAGAAATTCACTGTCGTCTGTTCTTATCAGTATTTAAGATTGAAGTCTTGTTTTCTCAATAGATTACATTTTGTTTTAGCTCGTCTTATTCTGGATACTGAATGCCAGCAAAGTGGGTATTTATTAGTCCGTATTCTCTGAGTCTTTGCTGAGTGTAGAATAATCGAGTAGGCTGTTTTTATTACGTATTCATTTTAGATTTTGAATCAGACGTTATCAAATTGTCCATATTTTTTAAAATGGCCCTTTCAGCTGTGTTTTGTTGAGGTATTGTAACGGTTTGTTTGTCAATGTTTATTTTCATCAAGCAACCAAATTGTTGCCAGGCAGACCATTAAATGTGGTTGGGGCCACTTCAGGGCTGATATAGCTGTGTGTTGTCAGCCCGCTCAAGGAAAAGTCTATAATTACTCGGTTTTGTTTAAATATAAAGGAGAGACTCAAGAACTGCATCCTTTCTTATTTCAAACCAAGATTTGTATTCATGGTCAGACCAAAATGGAGCTCAACCAACGCGTGTTTTTTATTAAAGCTGATTCCTAATATGTTGCTCAAGTCTAAATTTAAACAAAAAAAGACTAGACTAAAGGCAATAGACGGAGTCAAGTTTAATGGGAGATTGATCTATTGTGTTTCTAAACCAAGAATTTCTTTTACTGTTTAGATGATATGCTGGAGACTAAATCTGGGACTGCAACCCCTCTCCGTTCTGGTTCTGTGGGGAACTACCGCACCACAGTAAAGGGCGACGTAGAGGGAGCAGATGCTCCAGCCACGCCCAGCTCTGTGCAGCCCACCAAGACTGCTGAAGGCTCCTTAGGTTCCTCTCTGACCTCGTCCATCGACTCATCCGGAGGTGCGGACAACACGCCTACCCCAAGACCAGGGAGCCACACCATCGAGTTCTTCGAGATGTGCGCAAACCTTATTAAACTACTTGCACGATAGCTTGCAAAAACAATCATCGCTAGCCTTTTTTCTCTCTGAGTGTCTTTATAGCAATAAGCATGCAACCGATTCATGGCTCACTTCATCCAGACTGAGGATGAAGTGTTTGTTCCATGGCACTGATGCAGGTTGGCGTTCCCTGAGCTGTAAGGGAAGGTATACTGAGCTGACTGGTTTTGTAGGAGTTGAGGAAAGAGGAATTAAATGCTACTTAACTAGCTAGGACAGAACAACATTTCAGAGGGAAAGAGGGGGGGAAATTTCCAGATCAGTCCTCAACAACAGATGCCCACATCCCAAATACAACTATATGCGGAAGTGATTACACTGAACGGTCTGTACTGTATCCTGTAAGACCCAGTTGTCAGTACAGAGAACAAAATCTCGTTTTTTTTTTTTACCTGCAGAGGAGGAAGCCACGGATCGGTGTTAAGAACTGAGTGGCAGTCATAGGAGGCAGGAGGCACTTTTGCACAACTTTCTTTAATTTTTTCTGCTGCTTGTACTTTTTTTTTAAGCTCTTCTTAAGGATCAGAGAAGTGTTGCAGGTGTAATGGGGAACTGCACTATTACAAGCCCATCCCATTCAAACAGACCCCCCTGTAAAGTGCTGTGACCTCTGCCGCTCTGCAGTGTGTCAGGGACAAAAAGGATGCTTTATCAGATTTACTTTGGGTTTTCATGTTTCTGTCAAAGACCTAACTGTTCATGGTTTTGTCCTCATTGTAAATTGTTTGGATTTGTTCTTCCCCTGCATTTTTATATATGAAGATATAAGCATATTTATCAATGCATTACGTTGAGGAAGTTTTGGTTGTAAAAGAATTAGATTTTTTTTTTTTTTTTGCATTAATTTCTATTGCTGGATATTATATAAGCATATATTCTTTTTTTTTTTTTTATTACTGTTTTTACGTCTGTCGATTTTGTTGCCCTCAATCACAATTATTCTGATACTTGATTGTCTTTGTAAATAACTAGCCTGCTTTTCCAATTTAAGAGGAGTTTTTTATGACACAGAATCTAGAAATATATCCTTTTAAGTGTCATGTAGTAGGTGGACATATTGATTTTGACTTTTATGTTATATTTTCTCTGTTCAGGATAAAGTGTTGGATATGAGTGTGATTACTGAGTGAAATGCCTTTGGCCTACATCCATTTCAAAAAATGCCAACCAGTCAAATATACAGACCTCAAGGCCTCCTTTTAAACCAATCGTAGCAGTTGTATCTGATGTGTTGGGAGTTTGTGCATTGGTGAATACAAATGAAAATATTTAGTTTCACATGATTATTTTTTAATTGCTCTCACATTCCTTTGAAAGTTGACATTTTAATTCCAGTCTTGTCTTGAATCTATTTAGTACTGTAAATCATGAGGGACAGAAAATTTCCGGTTAAGATGGACAACTTGAAAGTTTTCTATTTGATTATTGTCTGGACATTAAAATTCCAGACTCAAAAGTCCAAGATATGTCTTAAATTAGAACACATCTCATTCCAGTTCCTGTTCATCGTCTTAAAGTTATAATCAATCATTGATTGGCAGCCTTATCCTTATTCTTATTAGTACTGTTCATCAGTTTTATGCTAGAAATATGATTTCAGTGCTGGTCAGGAATATTGGCAACTTTTGCCATTTTAAAGGTTGATTTTTCACAACATATTTTGGTGTTATATCAACAGAACACACTTAAATCTGGTTTTGAAGAACTAAACACCAAGAAAAGACCTTTAATGGTTTTTATTTTTTTTATAAAAACTCCCCAACCTAAGCTTGAGATATTGGAGTTTAGCTTTATACAATGTAAAAGCATCTCGATTAAATGTAAAACCTGTTTAGATTTCAAATGATGAATAAAACTGCAGAGTTTGACCATTTTGATCACGTTCTCTCATGATAAATAGAATGTTTTCACCCAAAACATGCAGTTAATTGACCTTGAGGTCTCTGTTTTTAAGTTGATTTAAAAAAGAAAAAAAGGGTAAAGACTCAAACTTAATGGTGTTGTAGACATGGTGTAAAATATTCATTCTTAAAGGGTTTCTTGCAAGTCTAGATAACCAAAACTTGTCATGCCTTACATGATGGGTTTTGCTTGAGAGTTGAATGTTTGCAAAAAAATGTTAACTCCTTGAGAGATTATGGAAAGTGTCCTAGAAGTCTGTTCAAGTCAGTGGCTGGTTGAACCTCTTCAAAATGTTGCTCTTTTTTGTTTGGTGTGAAGGGGGACCCCACCAGATGGAGCATTGTAAATCTGAATGGAAAGTGGTGAATCATTTGTACACGCAACTGGCTAATAAACTGCTAATAAATTAAAGACTATTGTTTTTAAGTTTTCTTATTTAGCCCGTCTAAATATGTTTTATGAAAATTCACTCTCTTTTGGCCAAGTGAATGTAGAACAAATCGGGATTATATTTACAATAAGGCTCTACAAAATATTTTTATGTTTTTATATATCAAAGTTTGTACACATTATAGCTATTCAAGGTTTTAGGAGAATAAATTAGTTATAAAAAGTTGTTAAAAATATTGCTTTTAGGTCTATCCAAAAATATATATGAGGAAAAAAATATTCATTTTAAATTAATCTAAAATTAAGAAAATGGTACAACCAAAAATACAAAGTTCAACCATTTGGCCTTTATATCTAAAAGCTGGTTTTATTTTGAAATATGATGTAATCAGCTTCCGGGTGATGCTCCCTTTAAGTGTTTTTGCTTAATCGGGGGAACTTGTAAAAGAGCCCTTGGAGCTCATTATTTAAAAAAGAAAAAAAAAAACGATATTTCTCTCGATGGTCTGCCTTTATTCTTAAATCAGTTTATGGGGATTTATTCTACTCTACCGGTTCTTAGCAAATAAAAAATTTGGAATAACGAAAAACCGTTTGACTTTAGACAAATGGCAGGACACTTGTGGGTTTATGGTTTAGATGATGTTTCTTATTTGTAATTACTTTTTTTTTTTTTTTAGATCACATGGCTGCATTTGTAACTGCTGGCTATACTCAGAATATATTTAGCCATTAAAACTTTAGTTCAGCCGTAGAAATGTTTCCAAAATCCTGGTTTTACAGTGTACATTGAACGCACCTTTAGGTTGAAAACAATGGCGGACGACTAAATTTAGCGTATTCTTACATATGGTAAAGCTGTAAATGTATGTGTATTTACAGTCTCTCTCTAATTATCTGGTTAATATTTGTAATGATGTTTTAAAGTCCAGTAAAAAATAAAGTGGAATATGTTAAGCAAACTTTATTGTGTCGGAAACGTAACACAGGTGCTGATGCTAACTCTAGCTAGCAACGTTCCACCTTTTAACGTTTTAGAGCTATAAAGCAATCATTTATATGTAATATCTGTTTAGATAAGTTCTGTTTATAAGGGACAGTATCCTTCGTTGGTGTCATACCGTAGTAGGTTTGTTTAACCAGTGTTTCACAATAAAAGCCCGGTGTTTTTCTTGCAGAATGGCCTCATTTGGCTGGAAGAGGAAGATTGGGGAGAGGGTTTCAAAGTCAGTGGTTGAGCAGTTTGAGGCCGAAGAGGAGAGAAGTGAAGGTAACAGTGAGGTCGATCGGGATGAGGAGGTGGACTGGCTGCACGCCATCAAACGGAAGAAGGAGATCCTGCTGGAGGACTGTGCTGCGAAGAGCATGAGGCTGAAAGAGGAAGGGACCAGGCTGGCTGAGGAGGGCAGGTGAGGCAACCTGTCACTGTTTTTAAAGCATCACACAGTCAGGGATATTGATAGTAAGGAGAAAATTAAACACAAGACCCAAAAATCAGACAAAATTTAGTTTAAATACAAAAATCGAACATAAAAATAATCGAATTGAAATCGACTGATCAATTTTATTTAAAATCTCTCTTACATCTTTTAGGGTTGTAGCGGCTTACAGATGTTTACCCCAACTAAGAGTTTAAAAGATCCTTTTATTCACTACCAATAAAAACAGGTGCATGCAAATATGGCATTAGTAGGCAAAAGTGACAAAAGTACAAACAGGGAAAATGCCAAAAGTATAACAAAGTGTGATGGGGGTGCAGATCTGTTAGACGTTTAATCTACTATTTATTTTATTACAGTTTATTCTGGTAAGGTTGTACAGGCGGATTTAGATTTCCAGTTTTTATTTAGGTCTGCTAAATTTTGTAAACCATAAAGGTGATGTTTGGTAGAGGAATATGGAATTTGAAGATGGAGTGAATTAAGTGGAATTAAAGGTTATTTTTTAATTTTCTATAGAATTGTTTCTCAGTGCAACAACTTCTTACCAAAACCAAAACATTCTCTCTGAGAAAGCTCTCTATTTGAAAGTGAGGTAAGCTGTGGTATCATTAAATTCTGGGTAAGCAAAAACAAATTAAACTGTGCTTTGTGTGATTTATTAAAGTTTGATTTAGACCACACGTTCCTCTCAAAGCAGTCTTTTTTAATTAAAAATTAATGCAAATTAGAACATATGTGTTACAATAGAAAATAATATAAATGTAATTTAGGATTAAGAAAAAGGTTTAAAAATAATGATGCTTGTTCTTCTTGAGCATTAGAGATTATGGGGTATGTTTAGTCCACAGAATTATTCAGCAAATAAATGGATTGGATAGTGTCCCTGCAGGATACTAAAGAAGAAGCTGATTGTAAGAACTAAAAAACAAATCTGATAGGGACACATTGCAGTTATGAAATCCTAAAAATAAAGAATATTTGCAATATTCATTTTTATTCCAGCTTTTTCTGAGGAATGTTAAAGCTTTTTTACTTTAATATCTCTGAAGATTGAAAAGAAAACTGATCAACACATTTTTTTTTTATGTCTAAAAGACAAATATTTTGCACAACAAAATCTAAAAAAAATGTCCTGTATGTATTACATGTGTTTTTAAAAGATGTAGTAATGAATACACATTTCCCAATGATTCTCTATAATGATTTAACAGGCCCAAAAGTTGCTTGGCATTGCTACCACCAGTTGTCCAGAAGAGGGCAGCATTGCATACAGCTTACATTTCAACTGTCTCACAAAAAAACAAACAAACAAAACTTAAAATGCAAAAAAGCTAAAAATTTGTGTTTGAACAACTAAAGCATTTGTTTTTCCAGTTTTCTAGTGAATAAATGTTGCGATTAAAATTTATGCAAATAATTCTTCATTTTTTTTTTTATAACTTTGAATAACAAATGTAGAAGTCTCTTGATTGTCGGTGTGATTTTAACATGTTGTACCTGTTGACCTTTTCAATCAAAGCACATTGACAAACCCTGTTTGTGCAGAGGACGTGATGTTGTGGCCTTTAGCTACTGCCTGTAATCCTGTTTTCCTGGAGAAAGTGGATTTTGCTTGGAAATGATGCCATGGTCGTGCCGCGTAATGGGTGCTTAGAGAGTTGAGGTGGTGTCTGGTCATGGAGATTGGTGAAGGGGCGTTTTGTCTCTAACAATATTGACCTTTGATTTGAGTTTCTTATTACAGGCGTTTGGATGCTTCAGATGTAACCGACGAGCTCCTCCGTTCTGCCTTTGATCATAGCCTGTTCATTGGTGAAGGTGTGATTCTACCTGTGGATGTCTTTACTGCCAACACATTGTCAATATTTTACTAGATTAAATATGACTGTTTTATAACAGCTGTTTTTTTTTTTATTTGTTGGGCATCGTAAACTTTTAACATAATGCTGTGGAAAACCCCCCCCCCCCTCACATTTATAACTTAATATGCTGCCATATATTATTAACATATGATTCACAGCCTTCCTCAATATATTTATACTGTTTACTCATTTCTTTGACTTACACTTGTCAACCTGTGGGATTTTCTTTCTCCAGATAAAATGGTTTAATTGGTCATTTCTAACATCCTCTGGTTTTTGTAAGTTGTTAACATTGTTTTTAAGTTTGAAAAAGTTATTTATTATGATATATTTTTGAATAAATAGATGGGAAGATGTTGTTCTTAATTCAAAAGTCTCGCCTCTGTTTTAAAGACACAACTAAACAAAAATGTTTAAATCATGAATTCAGATTTGATTTTAAATTGTTTCCTTTGCTATAGTCAATTATCAGGTGTTTAAAATTGTGTTAATGGCTAAATCTAAATAATGATTTGATCATTTCAATATTATCGTTCCAAGAAGAACAACATGATCCTTCTGATTTGAAATATTGGTCAAATTTTAGAAAGTCGCCCCCAGAATCTCATCTGATGCTGATTTTTTTTTTTGTGTTAAAGCCAAATTTCCTTAATAAGAATGATTTTTTGCTGTATTTACCCCAACATATTCCCAAGCAGCCATATTCTTTTTTTCTACGAGTGTTTGAGAACTTGGCCCCCTTTCTTTTTTTCCAGCCGAGCAACAATGTAAAGCCAAAGGTGAAGAACGCTATTCTGTTCACCGTACTGTGGAATAAATAAAACTGACGCTTTCTTTATGATTCTGTTAAACTGACTTAAATGTTTTCCCCCTCCCCAGGGCTTTGATACCTGTTACCCTTTCCCGACTTATATCGTGTTAGAAGCGCTTCTCTTTTCTCAGATTGTTGTATCGAATGGTCCCAGCTTTCCATTCCTCTGCTGTTCTCAGCATTTAGACAAACTGCTAAGCTCCTGTTTATCTGTTATCTTAAACTTCACATGTTTTTGTTTACATGGTTGAGAAAAATAGAAGTTATTGCTCTCTTTGCAGTCCCGTTTCTCTAACCCGTCTTTAACCGATAGACAAAGATAGAAAGATTCATCATAGAAGGCTTGTTTGGCTCCTTGGCTCATGTGTCTGATTGCCTAATTTTCTACTTTGCCTCATGCAGTTGAAAGATTTCCACACTTCCTCAGTTCCTTCTTTACTCAGTTAGCTCTTCTGATAATAACACGACTGGTATATTTCATGATTCATAATTTAAGTCACCCAATCATGATTAACTGCCTCGTTTTGTGGCCTTAATTGGTTTTGAATTTTTAAGGTTCTCCATCTAATGTAATCTGTAAAAGCTGCTGACATGAAATTAGGAAGGTCGAACTTATGACTCCACCTCAGCCTTTGTTCGCGGGTTGGGAAACTTGTTTTGAGTCAATATTGACCATGAGGTGACGGTTTTCATAGATTCATGTCAATTTAGCATGTTCAAAGAGTAAATATGTGCTAGAAGAGCAAATGTATGCAAAGCAGTGGTTATAGCTGCTCAGATTGAGAGGAGTTTATGTACCCTATAAACAAATTCATGTAAATCCTCTTTATTTATTTTCTGAGTAGCTCAAATTGAAACCGGTAGTTAACCTTAACACCTTGCAGGCTCTGATTTGCAGCCTGTGTTTAACAGCAGGGAGCTTTCTGTTTATTTAAGTCTCTTATGCTGTCAGACCGTTGGACAGGTGCTGTGGAGGAAGCCTGTTGGGTTTTTTTTTTTATTCAAAAGGTCCACAGAGCAAATTGTTCTGGGAATTGTTTGACTTTTTTAGATCTACCTATGGTCAAGCAGTGAGTTCTTGGAAATCTTGAAGGAGATATAAATGAGGCACAGAATATATATATATATAAAAAAGATCTGCTCTAGAGAGAGGATAAAATTAAACTGAAACATGACTCAGACAAGTTTAACAAATGTCTGTTTGCAGAAATAATCAGGAAAAATCACGTCCTTAAATCCACAAAGCAAACCCTGTTTTAGTTAAATAACTTGTGTAACATCTGTCAGCAATGACTGTATAACTTTACAAAACAAAGTTATGAAAACATAATTTAAGCACCCTGCTGGTGTAGAACAGTCATACTGTAGTTATGAGTAGTCATAACCATGTGTCTGTTTTTTTTAGGCACTGGGAGGCCATAAAGAAGTGGGATGAGGCTATTCAGCTGACTCCAGACAACTCACTGCTGTACGAAATGAAATCTCAGGTATAAAGTTTCCAACTCATTAATTTCTCTGTGATTGCCTTGCAAATTTCTTGTCTTTTTTTAGATTCTGCCACATCCCAGTAATGATATATTATAGAAACACACAATGAAGATTTAACTACCTTAGTTATTACTTTTTAACCAGCTTTATGTGTTTACCTTTTAATATTCTCCAAACTTAAGCTGTCAGATCGGTAGGAAAGGCTCTATAAAAAGTTATTGTCCTGCTAGAAGGAGAACCTTTGGCCTCATCCAAAATGTTTTGCACTTTTTAGAAGTTTTTTTTCAGGATTACTTATTTTCCAGTTTCTTTCTCTGCTGAAGAACAGTTTCTCACAGCATGATGCTGCCCTCACCATGTGTTACAGTGGAGATGGGGCCTTGAATGCAGATCAGAAAGTTTGCTTCTTATTAAAGGTTCCCTGTCCCTGGGGTGCCACTGAAAGCAGATCATGTAATGTTTTTATCGTCACACAGTAGTAGTATATGAATGTAGGCCTTAAATAGAGCAATAAAGTGGTTATTTGGGCAATAGAACCCGTGTCATGCATGGTTGCTCTTTATCTGATCACACTACCTTTCAGACCGAGCCTTTTTTCTTTCTGGTGTTCTCTTTATAAAACGGTGAGTCATGCCGTATAAAATGGTGTTTTTCCACCTCCAAAATAAACACTTCATTGTCCAAGGTGTCGTATGAAATCAGATTCTCCTGTGGTTCTGTACTCAAGCTGCAGGTCATGTTGTTTTAATGTTTCAGAGTAAAATTCGATCCACAGTCAGACATGTACGGTTTCATTTGAACTCCACTGGATCCACTTTGCTTCTTAGCAACTGACTTCCTCTCTGAACGATCTGTTGTACTCCATATTGATGAGGACTCCAAGCGTTAATACATAGACCTGCAGCTTATTTTAGATCTTCTGGGGCACTTCAAGGATGCTCCGTGGTTTCCCTGGGTTGAACCACGCTGATTGACTGAAGTGGTTGCGATCAACCGCGGTGGGGATACTCTGCGGACGATCCACAGCGTTAACGTTTTCGATAAATCCCTGAAGTTAGTTTGGGTGTTAAGTCATGGACACGTTTGTCACATTGCATCTTAATTAGGGTGCTGTTTTAGGTCTGAGTACATATGAACATCAGCCTATTTTAGATTTATATACCGGGTATATATTTTTTAGTTATAATGTTTTTGTCCATTACTTAAAATCCAAATCAGGAGGTATTAGTACTCTTGTTCTCATATCATTTGTAAATTAAAAACCTGAAACTTCCCCAAACCTGCATGGAAAAGCTTTAAGAAATGTGTTTTTCTTTGCCATCACCTCATGAAGCTGAGGATTAAAGCTGGTTGCTAACAGCCACTCTCCCGGACGCCTCAGTCTTGAATCTATTTCTCCTTCTTATTTCAGTTGCGTGATTAAAAAAGCCAGCATGTCTCTACTCAGCAGAACAGTACTGATGTTCAAGGGTGGAGTCTGGCAAAACTGAGCTCTTCCCGTTATTTATCCATTTACTATAACTAATACAATATAAGCTAACACAATAAACCCTCTCATGGTAACCATCGTCCTTCTCATCACATTGAGTATTCCATGCCTAATATGATATTGTCCATTACAGGAAATTTGAGAAGGAAATCATTAGAGGAGCAGGTCTGGAAAAAAGTCTTCCCCAAACAGTTTTCGTGTTTCGATTTTTTATTTTTTTTTTCATCTCATGCCACGAAGACTTTACACACAAACCGTACTCAGATTACTTAGTCTATTACAGGGTTCTTATGTATATGGAGCACAGCTCCTCTTACTCTTCTTGATCATTTTGCATCCATGAAAGGAAAAAAAAAAAGAGACGACACACTTTAGATCCACATCATTGCTCAGAAGACATGTGCTGATGATGCTAATGCTTTTCTTCCTTTCAATGCTCTGTGCCACCTTAATTTGATAATTATTTAGCCCAGCACATCCGACTTCCTGGGTGTCCAAAGCTGGCATCATCTGTACAAATTTCCCCTCCTTGCAAATGTAAATGTATCCATCATAAAAGGGACCCTGCTTTTTGTTAGTAGTAATTTGAGATATTCTAATTTTGGTGTATTATAACTGGTTTTACTTTGATTTCAGAGTAAGCGTAAGTAACACTGATGCAGTAATGGTTGAAAACCATTATATTAGGGTTTAAGTTTTCAATAGGTAATAAAAATATTCTCCGCTGCAATAAAAAAGGAAAAATTAAATGCTACTTTATCTTTACTAAATCATACTAATTTAACACTCAATGTAAAGTTTTATTTCTTCTATAGAATTCTGGACGGGAAAAGCAGCCTTTATGTTTCTAATCAAATACAGTTTCTTAAAGGTATAGTGGAGGATTTTTTTTTAAAAAATGCACATGCACAACCCTGTTACCCGCTCCAGGCAATCTCTATTATACGCGGGCGAGAGCATGCAGCAACCTATTTTCTCCTCATGCTTTCTCTGTTTAAAAGTTGCTGTTTGAATCGCTCATACAAGCTTACTTTCCAAAGAAGATTTGTAATTTTTCCACTATGTCAGACTCTCCACCGGTAAGTGAAAATGGGTTTTGAGCACCTAAGACAGCCTTACGTAAACATATCACCAGAATGATTGACAATTAGGAGGACCACTTATTTTGATGGTCCAACTGGAAAAAGAACATCCTCCACTACACCTTTAATTGATCATCAGCAAATGGAAGCACCTCCATAAAGGGAGGTTTAAACCACATCATAAATGACCAGAGGGAATCCACTGTTCCTCTCAAACAAAATTAGAGAGTTTTCTTAAGGCCACACAATGCCAATTTTCCTAGAAGTTGACATCTCTGTGAATTTCGCTTTGGGTCAGAGCAACCATTTCTCAGAGAAACTGTTATAAACCCAAGACCTCAACGCAGCATCTACAGCTCTCAGTTAGCATGTTAGATCTGAAAAAACTTGACGGGAGAATAGAAAACATCCCTAAAAAAAAGAACCCTGTGAGGAAAAAAAAGCCTCCTCATGATGAGTCTGCAAAGTTGCACTTAACATTGGTGGCCATGAAGAGCTTTGAAAAGCTGGTACTTGAGCACATTAGCCTTGAAGTTCCTGCAAGGGTTGGGCATGGCTTTAATCTGAATGGTTGTGAATTTTCATTACTGAGTGTTCTTAGGAAGAAGGTTTATAAAGGTCCAAATATTTCAAATGAGCTGGCTAATCAAAGTTCTTTTATATGATTTATATGTTAATTTTATAACAGTTTTACCTTTTTATAAACTATTAATTTCTGGAAGGTTTATTTTCAACCACTACAGTTGAACTTGAAAGTTTAGAAAACCTCACATTAAAGAAGATGGTAAATTCACACTAATAACTGAAATATCACAGAACTTAAAAAAGTTATAATAAATAGAAATTGATTTTTTTGAGAGATAAATGTTAAATTATCTGTTCAATAGCTTAAGCTTGTTCAAAAATTGCTCATGCAGCAGGTCAATGAACCCTTTAACAATGAAAAATCTACAGAACGACAAAAAAAAAAGAAAGAAATAAGTTGCTAGTCAAAGTCCAGACTTTAGTATGATTGAGATACTGTGTTGGGATGTTAAGAAGACTGCATGAACTCAGTGAACTGGAAATGTGTTGCAAAGAAGAGGGGCTCCCAGTCCCTCCGGGGTGATGCAAGACACTGATAAAAGTTTTGCAGACTGCTTTAGGATCGTTGCTACTAAAGGTCGTTTCACAAGCCGTTAAATCAGGTGCTGTACTTATATTTTCAAACACAACCTTTGCATTTTAGCTTTATCTTTGTTTGATTTATTATAAATGAGTGAAATCTGTTTTATGCTTTTGTACACCTGAGAGCAAAATGTTTTAGATTCTGGGAAGAGCTGTAGGGATAAAATATCACAGACGAAAAAGTAGCAGGTAAGCTCACACCAAAGTGTGTTTAATAGATTTAAGAGGGGAATGAGTTCACTTCAACCAGGATACATGTGAGGTCGGGTCACAGAGATTTAAGGGAAAACTGAAGCTGCTGCTTTCCACAGTGCTCCTTAAGTTCATGTGTAAAATTATAAACCTTAAATGCTCTAGGTATAAAACTAATTATTTTATGTTCCAGAATGAATAAGTAACACTTTTACAAATATCTACTGCTAATACCTTAAAGTTTACTAAAAAAAAACCTATTCAAACTGTATAGGACCCTTTCTAATCTAACAGAACACATTTAGGGAAGTAAATACTAACCAACTTTATTGCACTTAAAACTTACAATATTG